CCTTGGCCTTCCGAGCTCAGGTGATCCTTTTGCTTCAGCCTCCCAAGTATCTGGGACTTCAGGTGCATTCACCATGCCTGGCTAATCACTTTTTTTTTTTTTTAGAGACGAGGTCTTGTCATGTTGCTCAGGCTGGTCTCCAACTCCTGGGCTCAAGTAATCTTTCCATCTCAGCCTCCCAAAGTGCTGGAATTACAGGCGGGAGCCACTGCACCAGGCCTGAATCTGATTCTTATTTATTTATTTAAAGTTGGAGTCTCACTCTGTTGCCCAGGCTGCTAGACTTAGGTGACCCTTCCGCCTCAGCTTTCCAAGTAACTAGAACTAATTTTTTGTGATTTATTGTAGAGATGAGGTCTCACCAAGTTGCCCAGGCTGGTTTCGAACCCCTGGGCTCAGGCAATCCTCTAGCCTCAGCCTCCCAAAATGCTGGGATTACAGGTTGAGCCACCGCGTCCGGCTAAATCTGATTTTTTTTTTTTTGGAGTTGGAGTCTCACTCTATCGCCCAGACTGGAGTGCAGTGGCTGCTCCCAGCCACCACAGCCTCAACCTGCTGGGCTCCAGCGATCCTTCCACCTCAGCCTTCCAAGTAACTGGAACTACAGGTGCGCGCTACCACGCCCGGCTAATTTTTGATTTATTGTAGAGATGAGGTCTCGCCAAGTTGCCCTGGCGGGTCTCAAACCCTCGGGCTCAGGCAATCCACTCACCTCAGCCTCCCAAAGGCGCAGGATTACAGGCTGAGCCACCGAGCCCGGCTAAATCTGATTATTTTTAACAGGTGTATGGTGGTATCTTACTGCAGTTGGTTCCCAGACATTTAGCCTCTGCTTTCATCTCTCTCTGTCTTTTTCTCCTAACCCTCCCCCCTCAATACCTAAATATTCTATACAATATTTCCTCACACACACACACAAGTATACTCCCAAGACGATTCTTCTCTTTATTTACATTTTTACTGTTCACTTGGTCATTATCAATGCCATGACCTCTGAACCACAGAGCAGTAGGTAGCAGAGGATTTGGAGACCTTCACCCCAGTAGTCATGGACAGCAGCCAGGAATCAGGAAGAAGTTACCCAGTTAACATAAAGGAACTTTATCACACTACCCTGAGCTGGGAGGAGTTGGGGACCTCTTAGCACCCGCAGCCCAGGTATTAACTAGGCCACAAGAATTAAGGGCAGAGATAGCACCTGGCGAGGTAGGTGGTGCTAGGAGGATGACTGGGGCCAAAGTGAGTTAGATGGGAGACGGTGAATCAACAGGCCTTGCTGATTGGGTGGAGGTTAAGAGTAACTTCCAGGAGAGACTAGGAAAGTGGAAACAGCAGAGGGGGGGTAATCTTAGACTTGCTAGAAACAAGAACAGAAGAATGGGGTCAAGGGAGGTTTTGGATGCTATTGTTTCATTTATTTATTTTTTTCTCTTTTGTTTTTTGAGTTGGAGTCTCACTCTGTCACCTAGACTGGAGTGCAGTGGCCGCTACCAGCCACTGCAGCCTCAACCTGCTGGGTTCTGGCGACCCTTCCACCTCAGCCTTCCAAGTAGCTGGAACTACAGGCGCACACTACCACGCCCAGCTAATTTTTGATTTTATTGTAGAGATGAGGTCTCACCAAGTTGCCCAGGTGGGTCTCGAACCCGCGGACTCAGGCAATCCACTCACCTCAGCCTCCCAAAGTGCTGGGATTACAGGCTGAGCCACCGAGCCCGGCTGATTTTTTTATCTTTAATTATTATTTTTTTATTTTAAAGATGTGGGATACAATTCAGGATTAGGTATACTAGTGGTCATCGTATAGGTAAAGTTTGGGCCTCCATTTGGTCCTCACTTCGTCTGGTTTGAGATCAGGTACCCTAATTGATGTTATGTGCATCAGCTCCCCCCACCCCGGCAGTGTCCCGCTACTGCCAATCCCTTTCTTATTATATTATGGTAAATGTTCAGGGTCCGCTTATGAGTGAGAACATGTGGTACTCAGTTCTTCGTTTCTGTGATAGATCACTGAGTATTATAGACTCTAAATTGGATGATGTTGTTTTAACACAGGAACCTTTTGCAGCTGGTGGGAGGAATGCAGCAGGAGTTGATGGTGCAGAAGAGACAGCCCTGAGGATGTAGGAGGAGACCTGGGCCTGATGCCCATAAATGGGTCCCTGAGCTGCAACAAGGATGAGGCAATCAAGAAACATAGGATAAGGAGCCAGATGTGTGGGCTCATGCCTGTAATCCCAGAGACTCAGGAGGCTGAGGGAGGAGGATCACTTGAGATCAGGAATTCAAGACCAGCCTGGCCAATGTAGTAAGACCCCATCACTTAAAAAATGTTCTTTAAAAAACACTCAGCATAAGGTACACAATATAGGAAGCACTCATCTTCAGGCACTGGGAGTGAGTACCTCTTTTACTTTTATGCCCTAGGCGCCTTGCTGGTCTGTTTCACCCTAGTCCTGGCCCTGGTAGACCCATCCACACTACTAGGAGGAAGGACAGACTAGCTACAGGGAGCCAGGAAACTTGACCTTGGGAGCAGATGGATGCTGTCTCCTGACAGCATCTATACCTGAGGAATTGAGGACAAAACTGCAGGAGGAAAAATCCAGGTGCCCTGTTGTGAGTGTTGAAGTAGAAAGTATGACAGAGCATGGTGCTGAAATCTTCAGGGAATGTCAAGGGAGTGTGGCTGGGGGGTAGGGGGCTGTGATGGCACTGAGGGGGTGAGGGCCGAGTAAGGAAGGACAAAGATCTGGAGGCAGCTCTGAAAAACAGAGGCCCCTCCCCACCCCTAGGCTGCCATGGGAGATTCAGAAGATTCAGAAAGCTGCACTCACTGGTTATTTATTTACTTTTTTAGGGATGGGATTTTGCTGTGTTGCCCAGGCTGACCTCAAGCTCCTGGGCTCAAACAGTCCTCCATCCTTGGACTCCTGAGTAGCTGGGACTACAGATGTGCCACCACACCTAGCTTGCACTGGTTATTTTTGGCAGAAGAGAAGTTCTGTCCTAGCTCTGGGTGTCAGCTGGAGCCCTGGAGGAGGATCTGGTATCTTGTCTATACATGACCTTTATCCTGTCCCTCACTGAGCTGGCAAATATCCACCCATCTTCCCATTCCTCACTTCCAACCAGCCATGTTCCTGACACTGAGGCCCAGAGGGAAGTCCTGCCCTCTCTTGGTGCAGGGATCTCCCAAGCCAGCAGAGAGACATCTGTCTTGATAGACCCTGTCCTGAAGCAAGAACAGCCTTCCATTTTCTCCAAGCCTTGTGTTTTTACACACACACACACACATACACCCTTACTTCAGCTCTATGAGGTGGGTTCTATTATCATCACTGTTTTATTTATTTATTTAAAAAAAATTTTTTTTTTTTTCAGTTGGAGTCTCACTCTGTCACCCAGACTGGAGTGCAGTGCCCGCTTCTGGCCACTGCAGCATTGACCTGTTGGGCTCAGGCAATCCTTCTGCCTCAGCCTTCTGAGTAGTCGGAACTACAGGTGCGTGCTACCATGCCTGGCTAATTTTTTTATTTATTGTAGATGTGAGATCTCACCATGTTGCCCAGGCTGGTCTCTAACCCGTGGGCTCCGGCAGTCCTCTGGCTTCAGCCTCCCAAAGTGCTGGGATTATAGACTTGAGCCACTGTGCCCAGCCAAGCAGTTTTTGGGTTTTTTTTTTAGTTGAAGTTGCACTCTGCCACCCAGGCTGGAGTGCAGTGGCATGCTTTCGACCACCACAGCCTTGACCTGCTGGGCTCAGGCCATCCTTCTGCCTCAGCCTTCCAGGTAGCCGGAACTATAGGCATGTGCTACCATGCCCAGCTAACTTTGTTATTTATTTATTTATTTATTTATTTATTTATTTATTTTTGAGTTGGAGTCTCACTCTGTCACCCAGACTGGAGTGCAGTGGCCGCTCCCGGCCACCGCAGCCTCGACCTGCTGGGTTCCGGCGATCCTTCCGCCTCAGCCTTCCGAGTAGCCGGAATTACAGGCATGCACTACCACACCCGGCTGATTTTTTGATTTATTGTAGAGATGAGGTCTCGCGGCCCAGGCGGGTCTCGAACCCGCGGGCTCAGGCAGTCCACTCACCTCAGCCTCCCAAAGGTGCGGGATTACAGGCTGAGCCACCGAGCCCGGCAACTTTGTTATTTATTATAGAGATGAGGTCTCACCATGTTGCCCAGTCTGGTCTCGAACCCATGGGCTCAGCCTTCCAAGTAGCTGGAACTACAGGCACGCGCCACCATGCCTGGCTAATTTTTTGATTCATTGTAGAGATGAGATCTCACCAAATTTCCCAGGCTGGTCTTGAATCCATGGGCTCAGGCAGTCTTCTCACCACAGCCTCCCAAAGTGCTGGGATTATAGTCGTGAGCCACTGCACCCGGCCAAAAGTGATTACGTTTTAATGGTTACAGAATATTTTGCTGGGTGATGAAGAAATTTTGTGACTTGAGATGTGGTTGTTGCATAACACCAGGAATATACTAATTGCCACTGAATTACACACTTTATAATGGTGAATTGTATGCTATGTGAATTTCACCTCAATTAAAAAAAATCAAACTTCAGTTCCCCAAACCGCACATCAGAGCTCAGGCACACCACAGGCAGTCAAGACTGGATAGAGCCTCCACCCCAGGATTGTTGGCCCACTCAGAGTGACACCCCAGAGTCATTGGCCACCACTCCTCAGGTTGGTGATATAGGCATCGTGTGATGAGCACACAGGATCTCGTGGGAGTCACCAAGTCAAGAAAATCACCAAGTCACTTGGAGAGGTGGGACTGTCATATCATCCAGACCTCTGCAAGGCACTTATCTAGCCCTGCCTGGGCACAGGGCACTTGGTGGGAGGGCTAGTCACCAGCCAGGAGGGGCGGTTCTCAAAGGTTTTCAGAGCGTAGTCCTTTGGAGATGGGTGGTGCCAAGAGGCAGAGACCTCATTCCCACCTTCTGGAGCTGCTGCTCAGTCAGCCACAAGGAGCATGGGGGCAGCGGTGAGAGTGGAGTCCAGGGTCCTGGTCGGGGTGGCCTGTCTGCTCCTGGCATTCCCTGCCACAGCTACCAGTAAGACACACCTGCTGGGCTTGCAGGGGAGGGGGCTTCTGGGTCTTCAGAGGACTTTGTGTGGAGGGGGCAGGAGTGAGCTAGAGACAGGGAGGAGTGGACAACCTGCTCAGGAAAGGGGTCCAGTTTAGAGAAATGCCGGGGGTTGAATGTCCTACCTGGGCGGGGGCTCTGCCTAACTATCAGGGCAGCCCTACCAGTGGACATGATTGTCCCTTGAGGGAACTGAATTTTTTTTGAGTCAGGGTCTCACTCTGTTGCCCAGGTTGGAGTGCAGTGGTATGGTCACTGTTCACCATAGCCTCAACCCCCGGGCTCAGGCATTACTTCCGCCTCAGCCTCCCTAGTAATTGGCACAAGCACATGCCACCACGCCGTTTTGTTTTGTTTCGTTTTCAGAGATGAGGTCTTGCTATGTTGCCCAGGCTAGTCTCAAACTCCTGGACTCAAGCAATTCTCCAGCCTCGGCCTCCCAAAATACTGGGATTACAGGTGTGAGCCACTGCACCTGGCTTCTGAGATTTGTCTTAATCAAGTATAGTAAGACAAGAAGATATGCAAGAAAGTGTCATGAAAGAAGACATTTACTCACGGTTCTCTGGGCACAGGAGGCACTCAGGGGCCACACAGGAAAGCACCAGGGCAGTTAGGAGACAGAGGGAGCAAGGGGAAAACGTAGCAAGAGCCTTTACTGCTATATCCATGGGAAGCAGGTTAAGCAGGTTTAGTGCTGGCAGCAGGCTCTGGGATAGAGACAAGTTGTCTAGCTATCTGCTACCTGGCACTGGGGTGATTAGGGTTGGTGGATCGTGGCCAGGAGTTTGAAAGATCCACAAAGGAGGTAGTTGGGGTATAACTCTGGATTGGTTTGCATTTGAAAGCCTTGCTCCCGGGAGAATTATTTGCTCTCTCTGAGAATTGGTTAGCCCTGGGGGCAGGGGTGAGGGGATAGGGGGTGGGCAATCCTCCTGTCTTAGTCTGTGTTGCTATAAAGGAATACCTGAGGCTGGGTAGTTGATTTTTTTAAAAAGAGCTTTTCTTTTCTTTATCAGGAAGGGAGCTGGGTGTGTGTAGCAAGAGAGGAGGCAAGAGGCGCAGAGAGGCCAGGCTCTTTTCACCAACCAGTGTGACTCACTCACACTCCCTCCCTCTGAGAATGGCAGGATCTGCTCCAACGACCCAAACACCTCCCACTAGGCCCCGCCTCCAAAAATAGAGATCAAATTACAATATGAGCTATGCTGGGGTCACACAAACCACATCCCAAACCATAGCAACCCCCAAGGTCAGCAAGACCCCGGATGTCAAAGCCTCAGAATAACAAAATAAAGATGTGGCTATTCCGTCTTATTCAGCAGATGAGTAATTTGAGGTTCAATGGGCAAGTGGCTGGTCCAAGGTTCAAGGCTCCACCGCAGGCCTGGTCTGGCATGGAGAGGAGTAATAGTGACTCAAGGCAAGCAAGGAGGAGGAAGCTGGGGGTAATCACAGGGTCCAGCTCACAGGCTTGCTGGGAAGGTTAACCAAGGTGCTGTGTGGACCATACTCAGAACACAGCCCGGGAGAAAAGTGTTCAGAGAGCAAATCTACCTTCACTCTGAGTGTCCATCTTTCACCCCACCCCCTCACAGAAACTGTAAACTCACTCATGGTCCCTCTGTCCTGCCCCCAGGACCCAAAGTTGCCCAGCCTGAAGTAGAAACCACCTTGGGCCGAGTTCGAGGCCGGCAAGTGGATGTAAAGGGCACAGACCACCTGGTGAACGTCTTCCTGGGCATCCCCTTCGCCCAGCCACCACTGGGGCCTCACCGGTTCTCAGCCCCACGCCCAGCACAGCCCTGGGAGGGTGTACGGGATGCTAGCATCGCACCCCCCATGTGAGTAGCTCCGGTGGAGGGGGGCAAGTAGGTGGGTCGGCAGGGGTCCAGCTGCCAGGGCTTATGGGGTTGACCACCTGGCCCTTGGGCTCATCTTTGGCCACAGGTGCCTGCAGGATGTGGAGAGAATGGACAACAACAGATTTATGCTCAATGGAAAGCACCAGATCTTCTCTATTTCGGAGGACTGCTTGGTCCTCAACATCTACAGCCCAGCTGAGGCCACCACAGGGGGCAGGAGGCCGGTGGGCAGCCCACAGGGTTCTGTCCTCCCATTCATTTCCACCCAGTCCACCTGCCCCCACCCCACCCCACCCCTGCTTCCAAACCACCCCAAGGGTCCTGAGAATGCCCTGGGCTAGTAAGGGGACAGCTGGGGTCCTAGGCTTAGGAGTCACTGCTCCATGGGCATCTCTGCAGGTCATGTTATGGATCCATGGGGGCTCTCTGTCAGTCGGTGCGGCCACCTCCTATGATGGATCAGCCCTGGCCGCCTACGGGGATGTGGTCGTGGTTACAGTTCAGTATCGCCTTGGGGTCTTTGGCTTCTTCAGGTGAGATGGCAGGCCTGGTGAGATCACTGACTGCACTGAGGAGAGGAACTGGGGATCTAGGCTAGGGTTCCAGAGCCTGAATGGGATGCCCTTCACCCATGCTGTCTGGGGCAGAGAAAAGTACTCCTGACCCTCCACCCCGGGGGAGGGGCTCAGCCAGAGCCAGAATTGTACAGTGAACTTGGTTCCTCGGGCAGAGGGTATTGGCTCCTGGGCTGGGGCCCAGGTCCCAGCAGGGGGTGGGGGCAAAGAATAGCAAGCTCTGGCAACCACCTGAGAGCCAACCCTGGATGGCCACCAAGCCAGGCCCACCCACACCACATGCTAGGCATATGGATACCAAGCGTGGCTCATAGCCAGGCCAGACTTTGGGAGCAGAGGGTCCAGCTCCCTGGTGGCTGATTCAAAGCAAATCCACAAAGGCCAAGGAAAATCTGTCAGGGGAGCCAGACTGAACTAACCACTGCTCCACCCTGCCCGCAGCACTGAGGATGAACATTCACCTGGCAACCAGGGCTTCCTAGATGTTGTGGCTGCTCTGCACTGGGTGCAGGAGAACATCACCCCCTTTGGGGGTGACCCCAACTGTGTCACCATTGCTGGCACATCTGCCGGTGGCTGCATCGTTTCTGCCCTGGTAAGTCACCACGGGGGGCTAGCAATGGAAGTTGGGAGCGTTCCTGTGATCTCAGACCTCCCAGTTCCTCCACCCTTCTCTGACAGCCATCTGCTCTCTCCACTGCACCCAGGTCCTGTCCCCGGTGGCTGCAGGGCTGTTCCACAGAGCCATTGCACAGAGTGGGGTCATCACTACCCCACTGTTCATGATGGACAACACATGGCTCCTAGCTCAGGTTTCATTTCCTTCCCTCTCTTACTCTGTGTATACCTCCCATTCCCCACCCTGTGCTAGCCTGAAGTCTCAGAGTGGGGGAGGGGTCAATGGTAGGGAGCTCCCTGTTGGCAAAGAGGGACCCATTAGGATGAAGAAAGCTCAGAAGAAACAACTATTGCATTCCAGGAGGTGAGCAGTCAGGGAGGGCTTCCTGAAGGAGGCTACCCTGAGCACACCGTCTTTGGCCCCTTCCCCAGGGTGGGGTCTTCAAGAGTACCCCTCTCTGCCCCAGGCAGCATGGTGGAGGAGGGGCCTCCATTTCCAGCCACACTGCGACCCAAGAGTTCTCCATTCAGGCTCTAGAACTCCATCTAGGTCCCCACTGCAAGACCTTGAGAAGAGTAGTCAGGGAAGCCACAGAACGGGAACTGCGTCTGCAGAAGCTTTAGATGTGAGATAGAGTGGCAGGTCCTGAAAGCAGCATGCTGTCAGGTAGAGAATGAAGCAGGGAGGGGACAGGCAGGAATGGGGGCACTGGAGAAGGAGGGGAGCGTTTCCTGGGAAACCGGACTTCATGCGGAAGGCAGGAAAGAGCTAAGCAATGGCAAAGCTGAGCTACTTGGAGGGGAAGGTGAGTTGGAGGGAGCAGTCCTGGAGGTCAAGAGGCCAGGGAGGTGGCCAAGGCAGAGTTCAGGCAAGAGAGGACAGGCGGGGACAGGGGAGTGCCATGGGGCTGGGAGAGAGGGCAGATGTGAACAGGACCTGGAGGCTGGGTCAGTGCCCTCACTTGGCCCCAGATCACAGCCAAGGTGGAGGAGTGGGCTGAGCATGTTAGCCACTGGGTATGAGATAATTCAGGAACCTCAGCATGGGCACACTGTGTCTTATCTGGAAGCAAGAGGCATCAGTCTCTCAGCCTCCCTAACGCCTCCCTTCACCATGGCTGGGAGAGATTTTCCCAACCACAAACTTTAGGTCCTTCTCTGTCACTCCTATGTCCCAAGAAAAATACAGACCAGCCATTCTGTCCTTAAACAAATATTCACTGAGTTCTTGTCAATGTCCACATGCCCCAGCCTGGCTTTCTTGGCCTGTGAACTGGCCTGAAGCTGTCCTCCAGCCTCTCTTCCCACTCACTCCCTGACCATGCTCTAACATCAACATTCCTACTCTTCCCTGCCAGACAGTGTCCAAACCTTATTTTATTTCCTTATTTACTCCACAATCTTTGCTGACCTATGGCTCTGAGAACATAGTTAACCAGATAACGACAATGTTCTCAGAGGGTCAAGGAGGACTCAGCCCCCTCCCGCCCCCCAGATAATGACATCATGGTATAGTACAAACTGGTGGGCAAGACATGCTTCTCAGGGGTGATGGCAAGTCTCTGGCTTGTCTCAGGCCTGATCTGTGACATCACACCCAGCTGCCTTGCAGATGCATCTCTCCACCTCTGTGGGAGGCAGAGGGCTGGAAGGTGGGGTAAATGGCTGAGAAGGAGGCGGGACACTTTCTTCTGTCCTCAGAACATCGCGAACTCTGTAGCCTGTAACTCCAGCTCCCCGGCTGAGATGTTGCAGTGCCTTCGGCAGAAGGAAGGAAAAGAGCTGATTCTGACCAAGAAGCTGGTATGCCCACTACTTTGGGGATGGTGCCAGGCAATGGCACAGAGGTGGTTTTGTGCAGCGCCTATAGGAACAGAGGGGCAGGCTGCTTCCAAATAGGACTGGGGACAGCCACTCATGAGGGGAAGGATCTGAGGGCCACTCCCAGCCCAAGGGCAGGCCTATCTTCTAGGGAAGCGACCTGCCTGGAAGCATCAGTCACCCAATCTTCCAATTCCTGCTGGGCCCCCTAGCCCTGGTGGTCTCCATGCCCTCACTTTCCCTCAAGGTTCAGCTACTCAGGCGCTCAGCTGGGTGGCCCCTGGGTCCCATCCTTTGAGACTTTGTCCTAACTTGGGAACCTCCTGCCTTGCTTTCTCTGCAGAACATCACTTCCCTTTCTTTCACCATCGATGGCACTTTCTTTCCCAAAAGTCCCAAGGAACTCCTGAGGGAGAAGCAAATCCACTCCGTGCCCTTCCTCCTGGGTGTCAACAATCATGAGTTCAGCTGGCTCATCCTCAGGGTGAGTGTCCTCTGGAACCTGTGCCCTTCAAGGCCCTACCCCAGTCAGTCTTCTCTTGCCCCAGCATATTACTACAGCACTGTGAGCTGAGCACTCCTGCTATTTCCATCTGATAGATGAGAAAGCTGAGGACCAGAAAGATTTAAGGGACTTGCTCCAGCTCATCCAGCTCCATTTTCACAAAGCAAATGTTTCCTTTTTGGGAACCAAGCTTTTGTACAAAGTGGCCTTCTGAGCAGTGTTGATCCACAGCATATTTCTGCCTTGGTATCTGGTTTATACATCAGTGAGACAGGTCAGTGTGACTTTGTGCCTGAGAGACTGACTACCTAAGACTCTCAGGTCTTAGACATCAAGCCATTGGGTACTTCATGGCCCCCAAGTGCCTTCCGGTCCCTTCCAGGTGCACAGAACTTCTCACAAAACTGTCAACATCATGTCTTCTGAGCATCATGTTATGTCATCCTTACTCTTCTATGCATCATCACAGCAACCACTTTTTTAAAACCTTCCACAAAGGGAGGGTCCCATCATAGTGTTCCTTCATTTTGACATCTGGGCAGCTTCTAGTTTTTACCACTGAAACTTTTATTGCAATGAACATCCTCATGTCCACAGCTTTTGTCCTTTTTCTCATTCCTTTGGAATCGATCCCTAAGAGTGGCATTTGCTAGCTCTGTGAGAGACAGTCTCATGCAACCTTGACACTCAAAACTTGTAGAAATTTCCAAGCCAAATGCCCAATCCAGTGCAGGCAGCCTTGCTCCTACACTGTTTAACAGCTGTATGTATGAAAACAAAGTCACAACTTGGCTGGATGCCAAGACCTAAGAAAACTTGCTTGGTGTAGAATGCTATGTCTAGGACTTGTAGCCAAAGTTGTTTCTTGGGAATTGGGGGGCTCAGAAGGCTGCTCACCCTCTCAGGTATTCCCTGCACTCCGCTTGTTATCCACATGAGCACAAGTGTACTTTTTCCAGTCAACTAAGCATTGTGGTGAAAGCTTTGGCCATGGAAAGTAATTCATACCCTTATGGAAACCTCTCCTCTTCTTACGTACTGACGCTGACATAGCACTTTCTGAAACTGCTGCACAAACTTAAATTGCCGCCAGCGGGAGGATCACTTGAGCCCAGGAGTTAAAGGTTACAGTAAGCGATGATCGCACCACTGCACTCTATGTACTCCAGCCTAGGTGACAGAGTGAGATTCTGTCTCTTAAAAAATAATAACTAAATTGCCACAAGCAACTTGAATCTATAGGTTTCACTGCAATCTTACCAGCATTTGCTCTGTGTGTGTGTGTGTGTGTGTGTGTGTGTGTGTGTGTGTGTGTGTATTATTATTATTATTATTTTGAGCCAAGTTCTCACTCTGTTGCCCAGGCTAGAGTGCAGTAGCATGATCTTGGCTCATCATGGCCTCAATTCTCCCACCTCGGCCTCCGAAATAGTTGGGACTACAGGCATGCACCACCACTCCCGCTAATTTTTTTTATTTTTTGTGGATATGAGTTCTTGCTATGTTGCCCAGGCTGGTCTTGAACTCCTGAGCTCAAGCAATTCTCACACCTCAGCCTCTCAAAGTTCTGGGATTATAGGTGTGAGTCACTTTGCCCCAAATTTTTATTTTGATGAATTCAATCTATATTTTATTTTATTGTTTGTCTTTTGGTAGCGTAGCATATCTAAGAATTGATTGCCTAATCCAAGTTCACAGATTTACCCCTATGTTTTATTCTAAAATGTTATAGCTTGGACAAGTGCAGTGGCTTATACCTGTAATTCTAGCACTTTGGGAGGCCAAGGGAGAGGATTGCCTGAGCCCAAGTGTTTGAGACCAATCTGGGCAACTTGGCGAGACCTCATCTCTACAACAGATCAAAAAATTAGGCGGGCATGCTGGCACACACTTATAGTTCCAGCTATTTGGAAGGTTGAGGTAGAAGGATTGCCTGAGCCCCGCAGGTCAAGTCTGCAGTGGCCGTGAGCATGCTACTGCACTCCAGCCTGGGTGACAGAGTAAGACTCCAACTCAAAAAAAAAAAGAAGAATGTTATAGTTTTAGTGCTTAAACTTAGGCCTAAGATTCATTTGGAGTAAATTTTTGGATATGGTGTGAGTTAGGGGTTCTTTTATATGTGATTATCCAGTTGCACTGCACCATTTGTTTAAACAACCATTCTTTCCCTACTGAATTGTCTTAGCACCCATACTGAATATCTATTGACCATATATACATGGGTTTATTTCTGGACTCTTCATTCTATTGTATCAATTTATCTGTCTACCCTTATGCTACCACCTCACTATCTTGTTTTATATATAATAAGTGTTGAAATCAGGAAGTACAAATCTTCCAACTTTGTCCTATTCCAAGATTGTTGTATTAGTTTGCTTAGTTGTATTAGGGCTGCCATAACAAAGTACCACAATCTGGGTGATTAAACAACACAGAGTTATTTTATCACAGTTCTGGAGGCTAGACATCTGAAATCAAGTTGTTAGCAGGACTGGTTCCTTCGAGAGAGCTATGAGGAAGAATCTCTTCCATACTCTCTTCCTGCTTCTGGTAGTCTCAGGCGTCCCTTGGCTTGTAGATGACGTTCTCCCGTCTTCACATTGTCTTCCCTCGGTACACATCTCCTTGTCCAAATATCCCTTTCCCTTTCTTATGATTTACCAATCATATTGGATGAGATTCCACCTTATTGCTTACCTCTGCCATCATCTTAACTTGATTACCCCAAATAAGGTCACATTCTGAGATACTGGGGTCAGGATGCCATTTATCTTTTGGATTTCCTGGACTCCATCAAGTAAAGAGGAATTGTCTTGAGCTACACATAAATTATGTAAGATAATGTATATGCATAGTAAGTTTTCTTTTATTTTTAATAATTTTTATTATAAAGTTTGGAAAAATGAGAACAATATAAAACTAGTGGGAAATTTGACCTTGTTTCTGTAAAACTGATCTATCGATGTCTGGTTTGATAGAAGGGGTTGCAATTCTTAGTGAGTTCTCAAGGTGCTCATCAGAAATGTTTGTTCGGATTTTGCTCTTTGCGTACTCCATCATTGAAAACAGCAGCTCACAAATGTATGTGCTGCCACAGAGTGATGTCATGAATAAGGCATGACTGTGAACTTCAAAAATGGGGAACTACTCATAGGGTCACACAGAAAATAAACCCTAAAAAACACATTATGCTAAAAGGTTTTGTGGGACCACATTACTAGCTGTCTTGGGCTGCATGCGACCCACAGACCATGGGTTGGACATTCTTGCCATATATTTTTTTGTGTGTGGAGATACAATTCAACCCATAACAACTGTTTTGATGATTCTGAGGCCCTTGCATAGGAATTTAATGATCAACTTGTCAATTTCTGCAAGCAAAGCAGATGGGATTTTGATAGGGATCATATTGAATCTGTGGCTTAGTTTGGAAAGTATTGCTGTCTTAACAATGTTAAGTCTTGCAAACGAGAAACATGAGATGCTTTCCATGTAGTTAGGTCATCTTTAATTTCTTTCTATTATATTTTGTAGTTTTTAAATCTATAAATCTTGTCCTTTATTAAATTTGTTAGTAAGTGTTTTAGAAATGCAATCCTTATTTTAAATGCTATTGTAAATGGTAGCTGGAACCACAGGCATGCACTACCATGCCTGGCTAATTTTTTGATTCATTATAGAGACAAAGTCTCTCCAAGTTGCCCAGGCTGGTCTCGAACCCCTAGACTCAGGCAACCCTCTTGCCTCTGCCTCTCAAAGTTCTGGGCTTACAGGCATGAGCCATCACGCCTGGCTGGAATTGTTTTCTTAAGATCACTTTCAGATTATTAATTGCTATTATATAAAAACACAACTGATTTTTGTACATCGATCTTATAGACCATCATTTTTTTTTTTTTTTTGAGTTGGAGTCTCACTCTGTCGCCCAGACTGGAGTGCAGTGGCACGTTCCCGGCCACCACAACCTCGACCTGCTGGGCTCCAGCGATCCTTCTGCCTCAGCCTTCCGAGTAGCTGGAATTACAGGCATGCGCTACCGCGCCTGGCTGATTTTTTAAATTTATTGTAGAGATGAGGTCTCGCCAAGTTGCTCAGGCGGGTCTCAAACCCGCGGGCTCAGGCAATCCACTCACCTCAGCCTCCCAAGGCGCGGGATTACAGGCTGAGCCACGAAGCCCGGCTAGACCATCATTTTTTTAAAGTTCTGCTACTTTAGTTTCTGTGGATTTAAGTTCTTTTAATTCCTGGTGAAGATTAACATCCCCCTTTGTACACACTTATTTGTGTTTACTCACCTGTGAATTGTTCGTTCTCACTAATTAACAAAAAGCCTAGTGGCAATGAAATAACATTAATAGCTAGCATTTCCATAGTGCTTACTCTATGTCAGAGCCTTTATGCATATTAACTCAGTCCTTACAATTCTATGAGGCAGGTTACTGTCATTCCTCTTTTACAGATTAGGAAACTGAGGCACAGAGAGAGTTTAAGTAATTTGCCCCTGGTCATGCACCTAGTGAGTGACAGACCGGGAATTTATTTGTTTGTTTTTTGAGTTGAAGTCTCACTCTGTCACCCAGACTGGAGTGCAGTGGCATGCTCATGGCCACTGCAACCTTGACCTGCCGGGCTCAGGCGATTCCTCCACCTCAGTCTTCCAAGTAGCTGGAACCACAGGCACGCGCCACCATGCCCAGCTAGTTGTTTGATTTATTGTAGAGATGAGGTCTCGCCAAGTTGCCCAGGCTGGTCTTGAACCTGTGGGCTCAGGCAATTCTCTCACCTTGGCCTCCCAAAGTGCTGGGATTATAGGCATGAGCCACTGCACCCAGCCAGACTGGGAATTTGAACCCGAGAAGTCAGGCTCCAGATACTGTGCTCTTAAAACTGTAACACATAAATAAAGTCAATATTTGTGTTTGTACCTTTCCCTGTAACCCCTGCTATGGCTCCTGGAGGTTCTTGATATTATTCTATGAAAATGTTGAACAAATTCTTTCCCTCTCTACAGTATTGCCATTTAGGCACTCCTGTTGTATTTGGGGCTCCTCTCCCCAGTCATCCCCACTTTGCCCCCACCTCCCCTCACTCCTTTAAGTTTATCTTTTTGGGTCTGTGGACTTGTGGGTTTGGGCACAGTTGGCTCCATAATGAGTTTCTGGGCACAGGGCTGTGAACACTCTCCTGCCCTGGGCTGGGAGTGGGGTGGGGACAGTGGTCAGGCTGCACTGAGAGGGCCTTGGTGTTTCACAGGGCTGGGGTATCCTGGATAAGATGGATCAGATGAGCTGGGAGGACATGCTGGCCTTCAGTACACCCTTCCTGAGCCGTATGGTGAGACAAGAGGCAGGGGAGCCAGTGGGCATCCTACTCTGTATGGTCCCTGCTCCTACCCTCCAACACCCACAGCTGTCCACTTACCACCAAACCCTTTGGTCCAACTGCTAAATTTTAGTTTTGCCCAGGAATCCCCTTGATCATCAGTCAATGTAGTTCTCAAAAGAAAATTATCCTCATTGCCACGATTGTCATGACAGAGACTGCTTATTAATGAGCACATGCTACATGCCAGCATCTGCAATGCCATGGACTAGGAGAGGCATTCATCTCCTTCACTTCTCATTGTAATTCTGTGAAGTAGGAACTTTCATTATTGCTATTTTGCAGATGAGGAAACTGAGACTCGAGATCTCACAAAAAGTGAGGGGCAGAGACAGAGTTTGAGACAGCTGTCTCTGACCCCAGAGTCTCAGCTGTCAGATGGAGAGCCAGATGGATCTGGGGTCACATTCCAACCCTGGCCACTTGCCTAATGATCCAAACCCCTCCGAGCCCATTTCTTCACCTAGAAGTGGGGATGATGTTTCCCACTCCTCTGAGCTGTTGTGAGGAGAGTAGACATTGTATTTGGAGAGTCTACCTGGGAGTTGGTACCAAGGAGGTGCTCGAGCTTTGAGCATTTCCATTCCTTGGAAACCCCAGAACCCTCCGCATTCACACAACCTCATCACTGCTCTGTGGAGCTGTGAGGAGCCTCTGTCACTTGTTCTCTCACTTAATTCCCAGTTACCTTCAACTGAGCACCTGCTTCCAGGTCAGACCCTTTGCTGGGGACTTCACATAGGCTGCCAAATAACCCTGCCAGGCAGAGACTGGCTTTCAGAGAGGCTCAGCCAGCTGTCTGAGGTCATACAGGTCATACAGCCAAGCAATAGTCACAGAGCTAGGATTTGACTCCAAAGCTGAGCTTATCTACCCAGACACCACCTAGAACTTGCAGGGATGCAGAGAGGCTGCTAGCTGTCCCCTGGAACAGGAGCCCTGGGACATGAGAGAAGCTATGCTGGAAGAGATGAGGCTTCCTGGGAGGGTCTGCTGCAGCTGTGGGACCTGAGCAGACCTGAGCCTGGCCTCCTGCCCAGGATGTAATCCCTGAGATGCTGCCCAGCATCACAGATGAATACCTAGAGAGTGACTCAGATGTGCAAGCCAGACGCCATGCCTTCGTGGAACTGATGAGTGACATATTGATCAACTTTCCCACCTTAATTTTCTCAAGAAGCCTCCGAGGTAAGGCTCTCCCTGGCCACCTGTCCCATCCCTTCCACTCCAGCCAAGGAGCTGGGTCATCGGAAGTGACAGGCATGATAGGGTGCAGGTTCCCCTTGCCTGCACCCCACACCCCGCTGCCATCCTCAAACCCTTCTTTCTCTGGGATGCAGCATCACAGTAATGAGAGGTGTCTCTGGTTCAGAGACAGAAAACCGAGGTTCAGAGAGGTGTAGTGACTTGTCCAAAGGTTACCCAGCAGGGCCCATCATCTATTCTCAGGGATTCATTCAATTGATGAGTGATTTCACCCTCTTTCGGCGCTTCTCCTGGGATGAAATGTTGCTTTCTCCAAGCCTGGTAGCTAATCCCTGACACAGCCTGGAACAGCTCCAAGTTCTTAACTTTGTTACCTCAGGCAAGATATCTAACCCCTCTGTGCCTCAGTTTCCTCATTTGTGAAACAGGGATAATAAGAGAATCAAATCCATAAGGCTGTTATGAGGGTTAAATAAATGATGACACAGAGCACACAGAATGGCACTTGATACCTAGCAAGTGCTCAGTAAATGCTTGCCGCCGATCATTTTGCCATAGTCATCCTTATCATTGGTAATGGTATTATTATGAGCCTGTGCTGTCAAAGGCAGGACCTAATCGGGCCATGGGCACCTAACTCCAATTCTGCCCTGTCTTTGTAGATTCTGGGAGCCCTGTCTTTTTCTATGAGTTCCAGCATCGACCCAGTTCTTTTGCGAAGATCAAACCAGCATGGGTGAAGACAGACCACGGGGCTGAGGTTGCTTTCATGTTTGGGGGTCCCTTCCTCATGGATGAGATATCCCTCCTGGGTGAGAAACAGACAGACAGACATGTGGGGCCTAGGCTGCTGGACACCAAAGGGCCAGGCCAGGGCTTGCAGGGACAGGGGTCTTCAGCCGCACTGGGGTGCCTTGGGTCCTATCCAGGCCCCACCAGACCCTGAGGCAGGCCTGTCCCTCCCACTTTTTCAGCTTTTCCAGAGGCCACAGAGGAAGAGAAGCAGTTGAGCCTCACCATGATGGCCCAGTGGATCCACTTTGCCCGGACAGGGTGAGTGAGTGAGCAGGTATGCCTGGCTTTGGGCCTGGCACATTCAGCTCTGCCTCCCAAGGAGGCCTTGATCCTCAATCATTCCTTCCACTCAGGAACCCCAATGGCAAGGGTCTGCCTCCTTGGCCCCAGTTCGATCAGTTGGAACAATACCTGGAGATCAACATCATGCCACGTGTCGGACAGAAGCTAAGGAAGGCCTGGATGCAGTTCTGGGCAGAGACGCTCCCCAGAAAGATCCAAGAGTGGCATCAGAAGCAGAAGGGCAGGGAGGCTCCAGAAGAGCTCTGAGGCAGGGTCCGGACCGTCTTGGCTGAGGCCAACCCAAAGGGTGGCAGAGTCCCAAGAAGGCAGTCTCCTTCTCCCCCTGCTGAGAAAGGCTTTAAACCAGGCTGATGCGGGGTCATGTCCTTTAAAGCATCAACCACCCCATAATTGGCATTATACTGTTTTGAAATGTCACCAGGTTGCTTCCCACTTATGGGCCATTGTACAAGATCTTTCCCTGCTTGAAGCACCTTTCCCGCTTGCTACATGTCAAGTTCTGGCTCATTCTTCAAGTTCCCCAGAGGACTTCCTCCCCCAGGAAGTCTTCCCTGCCTTCTCTGGGCTGTGTGGCCCCCAGGATCTGCGTCCATTGGAGGATAGTCTACTCTAGGCTATTATTGTGTCTGTGTCTTTCTCCCCCTTGAAGGAACTCTTTGAAAGTAGGGATCAGGGCAACTCCCTATGGTCCCCTCTCACTGTGGGAGCTTTTCTGGCCTCTTAATAAATCCGGCTTTAAAAAAAGAAGGAAGATGGGAATCAGCCTGACCCCACGCTGTCAGTCACACCAGGATCGAGCAGGACCTGGAGTCAGGGATTGTTTGGTGAGTAAGTGAAACGCAGAATATGTGAATGGTGGCTCCTGGGCTTGACCCCAGAGGCTTGAAGTGCCAAAGCCATGCTCAACTCCCCACAGATATTGTCTGCCCTTACCAGAAAGGTGGGAAGAGACCTGGACTGAGAGAAGTCCTGGGGCACCAGGGGACTAGCCCAGAACAGATCTCAACCCCTGACTAAGGCCTCACACCAGGGCTGGAAGAGATCCCCTCCTGTCTGCTGCCCAGTCCTGGTCTCTGCACAAGACAGAACAGAATCCAGCAGGACTACATTCACCAGACATGACCCTTACCAATTAGGGCCCTAGCCCTCAGGACTAGTGCCAAGAGAGGGCTTCTGCCTTTCTTTCCAGCTAGGGAAAGCTGGCTTCTGGGGGAGCTTGGCACAGCTCCCAGAGCACCCACCAGGACACAGAACTACAGGTTGGGAGAGGGTATCTGGACAAGTGTGACAGGCTGTTGTCATGGAGAAAATAGACCTACCCACCCAGATTTAAAAGGTGAAAAGCAGCCAGAGGTTTTCAGAGTGAGAGTAAACATTTCTCTCTTTGAGGATCAATGCGCCATTCCCTTAATACACCTGAGCTTGGATACATATACCAGTGTCTTCCCTTGTCCCCACTGTCCCATCACCAACTCTAATCTCACATAAACCCTTCTTCAGTCAGACTGAGTTCCTGGCTGCTGATGGGTTCATGAAAAGCATTTGCAACTGGACCGGCTCTATTCTGGGAAGTCCATTTTGGGCAGAAAGGAGAGATATATGGCCAGAGGGGCTCTAGGCATGTCACTTTCCTGCTTGAAAGCTCCCAGTGACTCCCTGTCACCCTTAAGACAAGTTCAAGTTCTTCAGGTGGCATTGAATGCCTTCTGTTCTTATCCCCTTCCCTCTACCAGGGAAGTTTGTCCCCTCAAGTAGGGTAGAGAACCTGACCAGTAAACAAGTCCTAATAATACAATGTATAACTGGGGACACAAAGGGCTGTGAGGCAACAGAGACATAGCCTTGAGGGACAGGGAAGCAGGGACATCTAAGCTGAGACCTGAAGGACAAACAGAGGTTACCGAAACATGCAGGCAAGAGAAGATGGAGGGGTGGGGAACAGGCAGAAGGGGTGTGCCTGACAGAGGGAACAGCAGGAGCAAAGACCTGGAGGTTGTTATATACCTGGACCCATTTATGTCTGGCTGGAGATGTCAGCAAAGATCACACTGTAAGGGGACTTGTGGGCTGGAATGGAGATTATGGACTCCAGGGTAATGGAGAGGCTTGGAAATGTTTTTTTTTTTTTTGAGTTGGATTCTCACTCTGTTGCCCAGACTAGAGTGCAGTGGCCGCTCCCGGCCACCGCAGCCTCGACCCGCTGGGCTCCGGCGATCCTTCTGCCTCACCCTTCCGAGTAGCTGGAACTACAGGCGCGCGCTACCACACCCAGCTCATTTTTTATTTATTGTAGAGATGAGGTCTCGCCAAGTTGCCCAGGCAGGTCTCGAACCCGCGGGCTCAGGCAATCCACTCACCTCAGCCTCCCAAAGGCATGGGATTACAAGCTGAGCCACTCGAGCCTGGATGGAAATGTTTTAACCAGGCGTGACATGAACAGGTTTGTTGTCAAGGGAGGCGAGGGCAGAAGCAGGGAAACCAGGGAGGGTGCCAATGCTGGCTTCCAGATGGATGGGGATTTAAAGTCCATAGACAGACCTGGTGACACAAAGGGGAGGGAAAACAAGACTCCCTGGGGCAGTCTTAAGCCAAGCAGGAGTGGGACTGGAAATCAAAGATCTTGGGCATGCTGGGTGTGCAAAGAGGCCTCTTCCTCCAGGCTTGAGGGTGTAGCACACCTGACAGCCATGGGGATGGGAGTATCGCTGGCACTGGTGTCACCATGACCAGCAGTCCCTGTACAAGGTGGGAAAGCCAGCTGGCAAGGCCTCAGACTCTGTTTCACTGCCAGCCCTCTCTCCACATAGGGCTTCCTTCACCCAGGGAGGGAGGGGAATGACTGGCACCACCCCCAGGGGCTGGAGGAGTGCTCATACCGGGAAGATGCTCCAGGGATTCCAGGCCTCTGACCTCTCTATTCTCTCTTCTGGGCCACTGTCTCCGAGGCTCACTCCTTTTCTGCCTGCCATGGCACCCTCTTATCCCTACCCCAAGATCCAGCAGCCATGCAGAGCTAAAGGGAGCAAGCCAGACTCAGCCGGGGATGGCAATGCAGGGCAATGGTGAACCAGGGAACCTCCCCCATAACAGGACCACAGGAAGGGCTGTGTGAGCAGTGTGGAGATGTGAGCACCAGGGGGTGCTGCAGGATCAGCACGTTGGATCCAGACAGGTTCGCCTGGACCCAGCCACGGGGGACAATGTCTTAACAGATGCTCCCAGGAGACATGTACATACGCAACACCAAACTTAGTTACTCACTAATCTTGACAGTCTCATATACACACCCTCACTGATAGGGTTCCTAACCAGTTCCACCATTTATCAGATGTGTATTTTTGAGCAAGTTGATATCCTCTTTGTTCCTGTTTTCCGATCTGTAAAATGTAGGTAAGGATAGTGACTCCCTTCATAGGTCTACTGTGAACATTGAAAGATCATTAGCCATAAAGTGCCTAGAATAGTGTCTGACACACAGAAAGTGTTCAATAAGTGCTTCCTGGTATAGTTATGGGCACAAACTCCAGTCACAATGTCTGGGGAAAAAAAACAAACATACAGCTCCCCTGACTGCAATTCAAAGATGGAAGAATTGAGAGGTGTTGGGGAATAGCATCAAAATTTTAACATGAGCCTCTTCCATGCTAAAATAACTTTTGGGCCTGTGGCTGCCCAGAAGAGTTGGTGGATAGAGTCTTGTGAGTCTCTGAATGGTAGGCTGAATGTGCTGCTGAAATTTGTAAACTTTTCTGGGGGCCTGAGGGATGCCATCATCCAGGCTCTTCCCCCGCTCTGCTTGGAGCCCCTCCTCTTGGGTTTTAGACCTGCCTCCTCCCACCTCCATCCCAGTTCCCAGCCCAGCTTGCCCAGGCCATAGGACAGCTATTGCAAGAACAGAAAGAAACTTGACAGGTGAACACCAGGCCTGTTTCTTGGGAACAGTGGAACCCACATGGCCCTCTTCTCGTTGCCCTGGCCCGTAGGCTTCCCTTCCCATCAGCCCTAGACTTCTCACACTTTGGGGCATCATTGTCCACTAGAGCCCGTCTTCGGGTGAGGCCTCCCCTGCCTACTGCCTCTGAGCTGGCCCTTTCTGATTCTGAGAACCTTGCCCAGGGCCCCAGGTCACAGACAATCACCAGCAGGGTTCAGGCCTCACAACTAGGAGACCTGCTGAGCTCTCTTCTGGGCCCAAGCTTATTCACACCCATCTTCTCCTTCAGGCCACCGGGCAGCCTTTTGGGGTCCCAAGAGGATCCCACTTTACAGAAGAGGAAACTGAGACTCAAAGAGGGAAATTGCCTTGCTTGAATTAACACAGCAGGGACAAAGCCTGGACTCACATCCAAATTTGTTGGCCTTTAAACTCCAAGTCCTCCCCACTCTAGAATGTGCCCTGATGTCTAGAGTGGGTTTTCCAGATGCTGGAATTGGGGGTCTATGGAGCTGACTTAGGCGGGGGGGGGGGGCAGAAATTC